ACACACACACACACACACACACACACACACACAAGACACGCGTCTGTAAACACTTTATATATATCATGAACAGTTGGGCCGAAACTAGTACCATTATAATAATCTAGAAAGGTGAGGCACACATTTTTACCAAATGCCACAAAAGCGGCACTCATTTCTTTACATAATCAAGACAACAATATTCATTTGCTCGCCTGAACGCCAATTCAGTTCTTTTCTCGAATCGTGTGACTTCGCTTGTGGTCGACGAAAGTTTGTGTGCGGTTCTTTCCGTTCCTAATTATTGTAAGTCATGTTTCAATAAGTGAATGTTCCTTATTGTTAGAAGTTTCCTCTATTTGTTGGATTCATAGCATAATATAGTCATTGTCATATAGTTTTAAGCTGACTAAAATCTGTAGGTGTCAATTAAGACTATAATACGAACTGGTAATGAATGAAATTGGTGTATTTTACTTGCTGATATACATATACACAGATTTTCAAAATCACCCATTATGTTGGTTTCGTTGGTATCATTGATCCTTTTTAGGATAAAAAATAAAAATTTGTTCGATAAGGATTCGTCTAATTTTGTAGGAAAATACGAATATGGATGTAATGTATTTTCAAATACGTATGAAGTTCTTATCAATTTGAGGATTAAAATCCAACATACAAGGAAGCAATTAGACCAAGGCCTTACATCATGTTTAATCTTAGGCCACATTTGCTCAAGTCTATTATGTAAATAGGTGAGGAATAGAAACATTCACTTTTCTCAAAACTTGCGAAATGGATACGTCGCATTTCGTCGCGGAACTTAACACGTGTATACAGTTATATAATCTTTGTCGTCATGCGTGGCTTTGTTTGACTAACTCCCTCGGTGTTTCTTCACCTCTCTCAATTACCACCATCTATGTTGATTGTAAGGGACACTACAATGTTTCATGTTTTGTCGAAAGCTTATTTCTAGATTTCTAGGGTGGGGGAGGAGACCCATAGCAAATATCTTTTTTTCTTTCTGGTAAGTGTTTTACGGCGTTCGCAATTGCATTAGGTCATATGAGCGCGTGGGACACATTAAACATGTTCTGTTGGTAGGAAAGTTTGAATTTTGCCCGGGTGGTGGCCAAAGCCTACTAAATCATCGATTTTGGACCACTAAGAGATTTTTAACGTGTGCAAACGCCCTTCTCCGAGAAGGCTAGGTGTTAGATCTTACCTACCATAAGACCAGGGGTGTGGCTGAAAAACTACAGTAAGAAGGAGCCAAGGAGTAGCAGCACAAAAGCTGCGGAAAGAGTCAGGAGCCTAGAGGCGGGGAAGGGGGTGTGGGGTGGGGGCAGAATGCGGAGACTGAAGCAGACAACAGAACAATGTTAGAGAGCAAGAAATGATGTGAAAGGACGTCGCTATCCGGATTCGAACAAGGAACCTATTGAAAAAAGGCGAGCCCCCATTTTCTTCTTTATTACTATGTTATTACACATTGTCAAATAACAATCATGCCCAACGGTTCGGTACCCAGAATGTTCGTCTGGCATCATAATCGACGAGTGCCATGGCGCATCATCCCCGAGGTGTGACCCAGATTTAAAGAATTTGTTATATTTTGTGCTGCAGACTTCGATCAGGACCCGATCGAACAGGCTTCAATTCAGAATAAAATGTCTTCAGGATTGCCTCAGTATGCAAATACATTCCCAAATCGAACAAATATCTACCCACATTAGTAATGATGGACTTTCGTCCGTCACTTTGGGACTGTATGATCGACTTCCCACTACTGATTAATATGTCAAACAGAAAAAGCAAAAGGTGAGAGGAAGCCATTGATCTTTTACTCAGTTTTTTTTTGTCTACGATAATGATGTTGATTCACAATATCAAGTAAAAGAAATGCAAGAAGTAAAAAGCATTTATTTAAGTAATATTCCGTTTTTAAAGAAGAACGATGTAAGTCAGTAAGAATTAGTAATATACTATATTATTGCCAATGCTGCTACTATCATCTGTTCCTACTGTGGCAGAACATTTGGGGTAGATCGACCTGATCAGCCATCTGCACACTCATCCCTGACCGCCGTATGACCAGATGGTCTTCATCAACTCGTTAGACAAACGACTACCTTGCTATTATTAGCTTTCAGAAAATTATTTTTCTGTGAGAACCTTGCGACTCTGAACTTTCTGGCTCGCAAAAAAAAAAATTGAATGTCTTGAGTTGTTGTTTTTTTCTCGAAAGGGACCTCTGGCATTCACATCGAGCCTACAAATCTGGTTCAGAAGTTGTGATGTTACCTTTCCCAAGAAAAGGCAACAAACTCAAGAAAACGATGTCTCAGTGTTGGTCACGTTTTATATAACTCTGCGAAGTCAACGAAGAGAAAACATCAAAATAGGAAAAGTTCCTCATGCCCTCTCTGGTCCAAAAAGCAACTCGAAGACAGAGCAAATCTATCAGAACCAAGAGACAATTTGTTAATCTGTCAGAGCCCACACGAAATTATATTATTTTTAAAATGATCCCGAAATCGAGAAACTTGAAGCTATTCTGTTGTCCAACCATGTCGCCTGAATTTCTTAAGTGAAGATATTGGAAGCAGAATGCGTTAAAGATGTTTCAGAATCTGCAACGTATCAAGTATCTTGCAATTCAGACATCAATAAGATTCTCTTTTATCTTCTAAACAGCTCGGGTTTACTTTATGTTTGCTTCTTTTTTTATTTTCGCGGCATTTTATTACAGATTATTTCTTTTTCGATGTCATTTATTTTGTTTCATTTCTTTAGTCATGCATTAATTTTCATTATTATTTCTAAAAACCTTTTAGCTAGGACTGAGGCGAGTTGGGCAGGGCGACTGTGATAAAGTTGACGCGAAAGAGTGTTCAAGGATTTCTTTGGTTTCTTTTTTCGTTCGTTTTGAGATAAAGTTGTTAAAAGGAGAGGTTTGGGGGGGGGGGTGCGTAATTTTACTTCTCTAGTTTCATTGAAAACAACATCTGTCCTTTTATGTTTCTGAAAACCTGAGTGAAAGCGAACCGGGCGCACACAAAATGTGTACACAATAATATAATACATATATCTACTTTCGAACAACCTGACACTACATACTGTAACACAGTACATTATTAAATTAAGAAAGTGTAAGAGCGGCATCTCATTACTGCCTGCCCTTTCTTTGTTGGTGATGAAGGCTCTGAGTATCTGAGACGCACCAAAGTCAGTAATTAGTCAGTCAGCACAAAGGAAGACAACAAAAATGGGGAAAACTGGTTCAGAGGCAGAAGAAAGCGCTCTAACTTGCAGAATATAATAAGTATCTCTATATTTAGGACATCTGTTTGTCTTTCTGTCTGTATGTTGTAGTTAATGATAATGACGTTTTTGTTGTAGTTGTTGTTACGGCTATTATAAATGTCTCTCATAGCGTTTAAGCTGTCATTGTTGAGTTATCATAGTTTATAATGAGTTAACACAACACATACTACAATCCACAAAAGAACAGATGAGGTTAAGAGTAGCACTTACTCTCACACGTAAGGAGCAGATCATCCCAAAGCGATGGATATCTACCTGTCTGCCTACTTCGGAATACACAACCAAAACAATCCATGATAAAACAAATACAAACATTTTGGAAGTTCTTATCGTGAACATGTAGCCTTCTTTTTTCAACCGCTTTCTCTTTTTATTTCTGGATTGTAATTGTCTATGTTTGATATTAGTTTGCATGTGTAAGTAAATTGTTGAGTCAGGATGTGTGGGAGGATAGGGGTAATAAGTTAGTCTGGTTGATTTATCCCGAACGCAAAGCACAGATTACTAAGGTAATCTCGTTGTCGAGCAGACTCGACGTCAACTGTCGTTTGTTATTGTTACCATTTATTCTATTCTTGGCTTTCATTTTGGCGACACCCACGCGCTTGCATTAATCACTGACCTTTGATACCCTTTGTCATATTTTGGCATAAATGTAAACGCCTGTTAAAAAGGACAACAGTGACCAAACCGGGCGTGGATGGCGTGGGGAGGGGGGAGGGGGGTAAGGAGCCGTGAAAACAGCTCAACTAAATTATACTGATACACATGCTCCATTGGAGACTGGGACCAGTTCAGCAAGAAGCTATTTTTTAAAAATACATTATGATTATGCTGCGTTGCTCTTGTCGATCTTTTAAATCCCTGGGAGCGCCATGGAGTGACAAAGTGACATAGTAGTTTAATAAGATAAAACGTTTTCAGGCATTAGAAAAGAGGTACTGTTTCTTTTTCCAAGGCTGGCGGGCGTTAACATAGCCTTAGAGGTTACAGGGAGCCTTTTTTTTTGCAGTGCACATTTATTTTAATCATGTTCCCTTTACGTAAACTGCAACATTAATGTGGTCGAAACTCTTGAAGCCTCACATTCAAAAACATAACGCGTTGTTGATTTCGCATAACCTCCGAGTACTGAAAACAGAGGGTACCTCAAAAGAGGATGAGGCTTATATCATCATCAGCAACAAGCGTTAAACTACTAGTTAGCGCAAAACAAGTTTTACAGTCACATGCAATTATTGGCGCTCATATGACCTTATGCAGTTGCGAGCGCCGTAAAATTTCTACTAAAACTAAAAAACTTGAAATTATTCTTTACTTTTATTTTTTAATTTTTCATCCTCTGTTGCCGTTAAGCGTCATGGGGAGATGCAGTTCTTTATGGTAGGCCACTCTGCAGCTCTTTCAATTGGAGAGGTTACCATTTCCCTGGGTCCTCCTCACTCCCTTAATCCCTCATATGAAATAATACTACATGTACATGTAAACTAAACTATTAACATTATAAGCTCGTCATAAACAGGATTGAAGGCTGCTCAGAAAGTGTAGGAAGGTAAGATATCGAAATCCAGATATCTCATATTTGCCTCACGCAGTGAATTAACTTTACAAATCGTGTGTATCTTGCAAAAAAAGACTGTCGTGATTACATAATAATTATATTTAACAATAAAAAAAATCTTTAGTACAGTATCTAACAAAGCACATTGCTCGACCGCCCGCTTGCCTCCCCAGACATCAAGACTAACAGAACATAATAATTCTTATTGAAGCTGGTAGTGACGTTTGATACCTTGCTGAACACAATTTAAGTAGTTTAGAAGACGAATACTTTGTCCTCACTCAAGAACACAGCAATCTGTGAAGATTAATGGTGTCGAATATAGAGACTGCACACTTCCACTTTAATATCTCACTCGAGCTGAATGCTCTCCTAGACTGACATCGATCTATTCAAACAATGATCTGTGGTTTTGAGATGGTTTCCTCGGCTTGAGAGAAGAGTAAACATTGAGTGTTGAGCAGGAATGAAATACTCGCAGGACTCGTGGTGACTCTCTTTATTGTCTTTGTTGTTATGCAGTCCTAAAAGCACATTCGTTAAACGTGCTTCACTTTCTTCTTCAAAAGCCCATCCCATTTTTGCGACAATTGCGTCATTGTTATATATTACGTTCAGAGCATATATTTTCTTTTATTCAGCATTGCTGCTCTTTGACTAAATTTGTGTTAATGTAATAGCCACTTCGTCATAGACGATAGCGGTCATTTCATGTGCTTAAAACTGTATTCCCCTAATGCAACCTTCTATGCCTCTTGTTCAGAAACCCAGAATGTCGTATTCGTTTATATCTTAAGATAGACTCGCTCTATATACTTCATCTTTTGACTTTACTCCAAATTTAATGTACGGATAAGCAGAATTGTTTTATTATTTCAAAATCAAGCGTTACGATTTTTTGGCATCGCTCTGTTTGAACATCACCTCACTGACTACATGTAACCTTCAACCGGGATTGATGTGGTGTTCTGCTTTACATTATGTATGTTTGCCATCCATACAAATGACTACAAACAATCTTTTCATGATCTCTCACCCAAAATTTTGGAAATCACACAAAGTTGGAAATCTCGTCTGTGTGTAGATGTTGAGATTTTGCTTTCAGCCTACAGCTTGTGTTTATTTTCGTCCACAAAAAGGAAACAGTTCCCGCCGTAGGAGCAAAAACGTCAAAGTTAATTATGCAAGCGACCTAATCACCTCACTTCCGTTTGCCATTATAAATGCAAACATGATGCTTACTACATTGAGTATCCCAATGTTCTCTTTCTGGTCATAGGTCGTGGACTGCCGGTCATGTCTCAACTACAGCACAGAGCGCATCTCCGGAGCGGTCAATGTGTTCTGTCCTCCTCTGGTCCGTCGCCGCTTCCAGGCTTGCCTGCCTCTGGACAGTATGCTTAGCTCAGAGGCCAAGGTCACTCTGTGCCGCCCCTCGGTCAGTTTGGTTGTGGTGCACGAGCAGGAGGCCACAGACCCGGCCTTATTCGCTCGAGGACAGTCCTACCTCTCTCTTATACTAACTAGTCTGCAACATTTTCTGGGAGAAAGGAACTACGCCATTTTGATAGGTGAGTGCTTGTGTTGTTGTTGTTATTTTGTTTTTATTGTTGTTGTTATTGTTCCTGTTGTTTCTATTGTTATTACCATTGTTTGGATGTTTTGTTTTATATTAAAATATTTTGGCGGAATTCTGGACATTGAGGCAAGTAAGAAAACAACTCCAGAGATTAAACTGAGGACTGGAAAAGCAGCATCAAAATTGAAAAAAGTTGGCATCCACCTTGATAAGACAATGTAAAGATACCAAAATAAAAATTCTAAGAAGTACCATATTCCCAACCATTATAAATGTATGTGAAGTGTGGACGATTAATGAAGATTACAACTGTCGAAATGAAATGTTCTAGAATAACTCTTACAATATCCGGGACAAGAAAAATAAAGAATGAAAAAGAACTTAGAAAATAATCGGTATAGAAGCATCAACGTTCCTACTTTGGGAATATCAGTTCCCATGATTCAGTTGAGGAACATTATTCTGGACGTAAAGGAAGAAGGCAAAAGAGGAAGGGATCCCAGAGATCTAACAGAATATGAGAACAGGACATTGAAACCTGGCTTGGAACGATAAATACAATTCTGAAAGACAGAAAGGCAAAAGACAGGGTGTTTTATTGTAGAAAAGGTCCGAGAAGAAACGAAAAACAACTAGAAAAACTAAGAAGCAGAATGCTGGACAACAAATTGGCCTTTTCGGAGGATGGGTATTCTGTCCATCTGTACACAGGGAGATTGAACATTTTATTCGGAGCATCCTGGATTTTCTGACCGTTAGTATTAGTTAACGTATTTTACGACACATTCAACATCATGAGATATTTTGACCTCCCTTGCATTTGAAATTTGATCTTCTATGTGATGGTCAAGAGGTCACGTTTTACATAGCATTCACACGGGGGTAGCCTGGACGGGTCCTCCTCTCAGACTAGGTTGCGACTCGAGAGATTTTTGTAGGTTTAAAGGACATAGAAACAAGAGCCTTCTTCGGAAATATTGTCCAGGGTCATCGCTTCATCTTGCTTTTTTCACTTATTTATTTATTTCACCCCTGTATTACAGCAGAGACATATAATATAACACAAAGAACAAAGATAAAGCACTTTTTATCTTACTCCTAATCACTTCTTTCTCCCCCCCC